CGCTGCGCCCCCCGCCCCCGCAGCAGCAGCAGCAGCAGCAGCAGCAGCAGCAGCAGCAAGGGGGGGCGGGTGGCGGCGGCGTGGAGGTCCATTGGTCTGCGGCTGAAGGCGCTGGTGGGCACCTTGCTGACCACCTTCCGCCTCGGCTGGCTGGGCCTTTCTGCTTCTCTTTTTGCTGCTGCTTCTGCAGATTTGCTGCTGATTGTCACTCTCCACATCTTCTACGTTTACCTCGTTTGCGCCCGTCTTCTCCACGTCAACCTCAAAAGCCTCCACTCCCTTTTCCTCCTCTTCAGGTGCGCTCAACCCGCCCTTCGGGGCCCCCGGGGGCCCCCGGGGGGCCCCTGGGGGCCCCCTGGGGGCCCCTGGGGGGCCCCTGGGGCCCCGATGACTGGGGGGCCCTGGGGGGCCCTGGGGGGCCCCGCGGGGCCTCGGGGAGCCCTGGGGGGCCCCGGGGGGCCCCTAGGGGGTTTCTAGGGGGCCCCTAGGGGGGCCCGTAGAGGGGCCCGGGGGGCCCCGGGGGCCCCTGGGAGGGGCCCCTAGGGGGCCCCCAAGGGCTGCTAGGGGCCTTTAGGGGGCCCCTAGGGGGGCCTCCAAGGGCTGCTGGGGGCCCCCTGGGATGCCCCTGTCTGCAGTTTGTCGCCAGGGCCCACAGGGTATTGCTGCTAGCCCTTTTGCTCACCTGAACACAACGGACGCCTGTGCTGCTGCTGCTGCTGCTGCGCTGCTGCTGCTGCTGCTGCTGCTGCTGCTGCTGCTGCTGCTGCTGCTGGTGCTCAGGGGGCAGAAGTGGAACGTGCTGCGGCGGCGGGTGGACTCTGCAGACCTGCAAATGGACCAGCTGCTGATAGGCTGCATTTTGTTCACAATAACAGTTTGTCTTTTTCCAACAACTTTGCTGTTTTATGTTTCTTACATGTTGATTTGGCTGCTGATCTTCAGCACCCACTCCGTCCTCAAAATGTCTCTTTTTCTCTTTTTGTCTTTCCCCACTTCTCTCCTTCTTTTCCGCGCCAGGGCCCCCCACTTGCTGACAGCAGGGGTCTCCTTCGAGCCCCTCACGGCCTTGAAAACGGAGACAAACTGCAGCAGCAGCAGCAGCAGCAGCAGCAGCAGCAGCAGCAGCGGCGGCGGCGGCAGCAGGTGCCTGCAGCTGCAGCCGCACAAGCAGAAGTCGCGCGGCGGCCGCAGCGGCCGCGCGTCGGTGTCTGCTGCGAAGCCGGGGAAGGCTGTCGAGCCCGCTGCAGCAGCAGCAGCAGCAGCAGCAGCAGCAGCAGCAGCAGCAGCGCGGAGCAGCAGCAACGTGTACTTCATGCTGCGCGCGCGGCCAATCACTTACGCAGACATTCTGTGGCCCCCCATTGCTGCTGCTGCGCGCAGCACTTTGGCTCCTCTCCATCCTTCTGCACTTTTGCCGAAAATCCTGCAGGGAGATATTGTGAGGCTTTCTCGCCACAACGCAGCAGCAGCAGCAGCAGCAGCAGCAGCAGCAGCGCAGCACTGACTGTACAGACACCCCAACCTGCGTGGACACCGGAAGCTGCATGTACACCGCAAGCTGCATGCGCACCGGAAGCTGCTGCGTAGACACCTGGCCAGCTGTACAGACACCCCGGTGTGTCTGTACACCTCAGCTGCTGCATAGACACCCCAAGCTGCCTGTACACCTCAAACTGCGTGTACACCTCAAACTGCTTTTAGACACCGGGCGCTGCTGGACAGACACCCCGAAGTGTCTGTACACCTCAAACTGCTGTATAGACACCCCAAGCTGCCTGTACACCTCAAACTGCTGTATAGACACCTGGAGCTGCCTGTACACCTGGAGTTGCTGTATAGACACCCCAAGCTGCCTGTACACCTCAAACTGCTGTAAAGACACCCCAAGCTGCCTGTACACCTGGAGTTGCTGTAGAAGACACCCCGAAGTGTCTGTACACCTCAAACTGCTGTATAGACACCCGAAGCTGCCTGTACACCTGGAGTTGCTGTATAGACACCCGAAGCTGCCTGTACACCTGGAGTTGCTGTACAGACACCTGGAACTGCTGTACAGACACCCGGAGCTGCTTGTACACCTGAAACAACTGTACAGACACCTCAAGCTGAAGCTGCTCCATAGACTGATGAAGTTGCTGTACAGACACCTGAAGTTCTTTACACCTAAATCTCCTGTACAGACACCTGAAGTTGCGTGTACACCCGAAACTGCTGCACAGGCACCCGAAACTGCCTATACACTGGACGCAGCTGTCCAGACACCTGCAGTTGCTGTACAGACACCCCAAGCTGCTTCTACACCTGAAGCTGCCTATACACCCGGAGCGAGCTGTACATACACCTGAAGCTGCCTATACACCCGGAGCGAGCTGTACATACACCTGAAGCTGCCTATACACCTGGAGCGAGCTGTACATACACCTGAAGCTGCCTATACACCTGGGGCGAGCTGTACATACACCTGAAGCTGCCTATACACCTGAAGAGAGCTGTACATACAGCTAAAGCTGCAGCCCTTTAGGGGCTGAAGAGCCACAGGGAGCTGTAGATACACCTGAGCTCCCTGTACACCTGAAAGTGCGCTGCAGCAGCTGCAGCAGAAGCAGCTGGTGAGTTTTGCTGCAGTGTAGAGACACCCGAATGCCTCTGCTTCCTCTCTTCTTTGTTTCCTTTTCTTCTGTTTGTCGCTGTGCCCGTCCGCCGCGGCTAGCTGGTGGCTAGCTGGTGGCTAGCTGGTGGCCAGCTCCTAGCTAGCTGGTGGCCAGCTCCTAGCTAGCTGGTGGCTAGCTCCTAGCTAGCTAGCAGCTAGCTGACAGCAAGCTGGCAACTACCGTAGCTAGCTGGTAGCTAGCTGGTAGCTAGCTGGCAACTAGCTAGCATCTAGATGGTAGCCAGCCGCCAACTAACTGGCGGCTAGCTGGCGGCTGGCTGGCAGCTAGCTGACAGCTAGCTGGCGGCTAGCTAGCAGCTAGCTGGCAGCTAGCTGGCGGCTAGCTAGCAGCTAGCTGGCAGCTAGCCACCAGCTAGCTGCTACGCAGGGCCTCTGTGGCCTCATCCTGTGCAGCTCACTGTGGCCCATAGAGCCCAGGGGGCCCCCCGTACGCAGACCCTGTGGGGCCCCCTGCGGGGCCCCTGTGGGGCTCCCCAGGGGCCCCTGTGGGGCCACACAGGGGCCCCCTAGGGGTCTTAGGGGCCCCCTGTAAAGGGGGCCCCCCGAAGGGCCCCCTGAGGCTGGGCTGTGGGGTGTATCAACAGCTATTCGCATTTTAATTTTTTTGCATATTTGCTTCTTATATTTATATTTCTTTGTATTTATATTTATATTTATATTTATATTTATATTTATATTTATATTTATATTTATATTTATATTTATATTTATTTATATTTATATTTTTACTTATTTATGTTTATATCTTTTTATTTGTATACACACTTGGGCATGTGTCCATACACCCCCACCAAAATCCGTGTGTACATACACCCCGCGCCTCAGTGCAGCAAAATGGCACTGCAGCAGCAAGGCACTGCAGCAGCAAGGCACTGCAGCAGCAAGGCCCTGCAGCAGCAAGGCACTGCAGCAGCAAGGCACTGCAGCAGCAAGGCACTGCAGCAGCAAGGCACTGCAGCAGCAAGGCCCTACAGCAGCAGGGCACTGCAGCAGCAAGGCACTGCAGCAGCAAGGCACTGCAGCAGCAAGGCACTGCAGCAGCAAGGCACTGCAGCAAAAGGGACCCCTAGCAGCAAATAAGAAGCCAGAAAACTTTGAAAAAGTCCACAAAAGAATTGTCTCCTTCTAAAAGAGGAGACAGGGCCCCGCTGCTGCTGCTGCTGCGGCCCCTCAGGGCCGCCGGCGGGGCCCCACACGAACGCGGGGGTCCTGCTGCTCTCCCTCTTCAGCAGCAGCAGCAGCAGCAGCAGCAGCAGCAGCGTCTGTCGCTGGTGCTGCTGCGCTGCTGCTGCCCAGTGTGCTGGGCAAGGCGCCGGGCGCTGCGGCCGACGCCCCGCTGCGCTGCTGCTGCTGCAGCTGCTGCTGCTGCTGCAGCTGCTGCTGCTGCTGCTGCTGCTGCAGCAGCTGCCGGCGCTGCTGCTGCTGCTGCTGCAGCTGCTGCAGCGCCCGCTGCATGCCTGCTGCTGTCATTGTCTCCTCCGGAACATCTGCAAGAGAATAAAGTCTCCAAGTCCCGAAGGGGGGGGGCCTCGGGACTTCCCAGGTGTCTGTACACCCCGCGGTGTCTGTACACCCCGTGGTCGCCGTGGCTTCGCTCCAGCTGCCCGGAGACCCTCGCCGCGCTGCAGCAGAGCCTGCTGCTGCTGCTGCTGCTGCTGCTGCTGCTGCTGATGCGGGCAAGGAGCCGCGGCTCTGCTGCTGCTCAGACACCCCGCCCCTGCCCCTAGAATTCGCCGAAGCAGACTCTCCTGCGCCTCCTGCTGCTGCTGCTGCTGCTGGTGCTGCTGCTGCTGCTGGTGCTGCTGCTGCTGCTGGTGGTGCTGCTGCTGCTGGTGCTGCTGCTGCTGCTGCTGCTGCATGGTCTGCTGCTGCTGCATCTGCGGGAGCCGCAGCAGCCTGCGGCTCTGATGCTGTGTGGTCCCTCTGCTTCTGCTGCTGCTGCTCATCTGGATCGGCGCCAGCAGCAACTGCAGCCGAGTCCGCAGCAGCAGCAGCAGCAGCAGCAGCTGCTGCTGCTGCTGCAGGAGACTCCCTAGGCAGCCTTAGTGCAGCAAAGGTCTGCAGCAAACGCTGCTCAAGCTGCGCATTCCCTGAAGAAAAGACCGGCAGCGGCTCCAGTGGGGGCCCCCAGGGGCCTCGGGGGTTAGGGGGCCCCCCTTTGATGCTGGAGCTGCCATTGCTGCTAAAGTGCCTTGGGGGGAGCGCTGCAGCAGCTGCTGCAGTCTGCTGCTGCTGCTGCTGCTGCTGCTGTTGCTGCTGTTGCTGCTGTTGCTGCTGTTGCAGAGGCCAAGGCTGGGCCATGCGCGTTGGTGGTGCTGCTTCTGCTGGTGTTTATACTGCTGTTGCTGCTGCTGTTGCTGCTGCCGCTGTTGCTGCGGCTGCTGCTGCTGCTGCTGCTGCACCACAAAGGCAACCCCTGTGGGGGCTCCTGGGAGCGGGCCGGGGGGCCCTCGGCAAGGCTTCTCGGGCTGCTGCTGCTGCTGCTGTGTCTGCTGCTGCGGCAGCTGCTGCTGCTGCGGGATGCGGCTGCTGCTGCTGCTGCTGCTCTGGGCCGATGGAGCAGCGCAGCAACAGACACAACAAGGCAACGCACCCTGCAAGCCGCAGCAGTTTGCTGCGCCTTCTAGAAGGCCTTTCTGTTTCAAATAAAACAAAATAAAAGGGTATTTGCTTCTGCTGCTGCTGCTGCTGCTGCTGCTGCTGCCTGGTAGACTCCGGACAGATGGCGCTGGTCGCTTTGGGCCCAAGGCAGCAGCAGCAGCAGCAGCTGCTGCTGCTGCTGCTGCCGCTGGTGGTTGTCGCCAGAAATTGAGCTGGCTGCAGCAGCAGCAATAAATATTTCTTCAATAAGACTCAATGGTTATTTATTTTCGCCAGTTTTGCTTCCGGGTGTCTCAGCCCGCCTCACGCGAACCGCCCAGCTGCGGCTCAGCAGCAGCAGCAGCAGCAGCAGCAGCAGCAGCAGCAGCATCGACCTCGCGGGGCTCTCGCTCTTCTTCCTTCCTTACCTTTCAGGAACCCCCACTTCTTGTCAGCTTCAGCTGCAGACACAGCCACCGCGAGCAGCAGCAACAACAGCTGGGGGTGCAGCAGCAGCAGCAGCAGCAGCAGCAGCAACACAAACGGCTGTGATCGCCCACCTTTTGCGGCTGGCTTCGGCAACTGAAGAGTCAGCCACAGCAGCAGCAGCAGCAGCAGCAGCAGCAAGAAAGCGAGTGTGTACTTGCCCACAGTTGCTGCGTCGCTTGACCAGCCCGGCAGCTTGACTTCTTCTCTGCTGCAGCAGCAGCAGCAGCTGCTGCTGCTGCTGCTGCTGGAGGTGGCAGCAGCTAAGAAGGGATGAATTAAAAGGAGACAAAGGGCCCCCACTCCATCTGTCCCCCCAGCCCCGTAGGGCCTCCAAGCTGCCGCTAGTTCTGTCTCATCTTGTCCTTTTTCTTGTCTCTTTGTCCCAGCAGCAGCAGCAGCAGCAGCAACAGCAGCAGCAGCAGCAACAGCAGCAGCAGCAGCAACAGCAGCATTATAGTCCCCTGTCGTCTGCCTGGGTCTAGCCGTTGGCGTTCTTCCGCGCGCATCCCTGCTGCTGCAGCCGCTGCTGCTGCTGCTGCTGCTGCTGCTGCTGCTGCTGCAGCTGACTGTCCGCGTGGCCTTAATGGGGGAGCCCGAGGTGACCCGGGGGGCCCCCGGCTACCGGGGCCTCGCCTCCCGCAGGGCCTCCCTGGGGGCCCCCCTCTTGAGGGGCCCCCATTCAAGTTCATCTTTGGACCCTTATGGGCCCTCAGTCTTGCCTGACGGAGTCCCTTTGGTACTTCGTTATTCCCGGGGCCTCACTTCTCTTTCGGGGGCCCTGGGGGCCCCCGGGGGGCCCCCCGGGGGGCCCCCGGGGGGCCCCCCCGGGCCCGGTGGGCCCCCGTCGGGGGGCCCTGCTGGGGCCCCCGGGGCCCCCGAGGCCGCGGGAACCCTCCTGGGGGCCCCCGGGGGGCCCCCCGGGGGGGCCCAC